GTGTGTGTGTGTGTGTGAGTGTGTGTGTGAGTGTGTGTGTGCGTGCGTGAGAGTGAGTGTGTGTGCGTGAGTGTGCGTGTGTGTGTGAGTGAGTGTGCGTGTGTGTGTGTGTGTGAGTGAGCGTGTGTGTGTGAGTGAGTGTGTGTTTGAGTGTGTGTGTGCGTGCGTGAGAGTGTGCGTGTGTGTGTGAGTGAGTGTGTGTGTGTGAGCGTGTGTGTGTGTGTGTGTGCGTGTGAGTGTGTGTGCGTGAGCGTGAGTGTGTGTGCGTGTGTATGTGTGTGAGTGAGTGAGTGAGTGAGTAAGTGTGTGAGTGTGTGTGTGCGTGTGAGCGTGAGTGTGAGTGTGTGTGCGTGTGTGTGTGTGTGTGTGTGTGTGCATGTGCGCAAGCTCAAGGGTGTAACTAGTTTGATACGGCATGAAAAACTAACACAGAGTTAGTGTTAGAGAAGACTGAGGAAAAGGCGAGAGGGAGCAGCATGCGTGAATGCAGAACGTATAAAGCGTTTGCTCATGAAAAGCCTGCACATCTTCATGTTGCTACAGTGACTCGCGCTGCCCACTGGCGGCCGAGAGACATCGGATAGCTATTAGAGAACACGCCCATCAGAAATGCATGCCTACTCACAGGTTTTGCGTGGGCGAATCTGCTGCTGGGATACAAAGATAAGTCATCTCCTAAAGAAACGGAGGAAAGACAGAGATGTGCTTTAATACGCCTCAAAATCACACGAGAGAGCAAAAAGTAAGACACAGAGTTGTTGCATGTCATGTCAAGACCTCTTGCACATGCATGCACACCATGTTTTATTTCTACTAAGTGTTCATTTCATAATAAACTCAAAACATGGCATGCATTTCATTGTTTTATTTCACTGGTCTTTGCACCATGCAATAGCACAATGCATTCAGCACAAGTAAATTTGTGCAGAAGGGCTCATTGTCCTGTAAGAGAAGCCCTTCGCTGAGAAAGTCTGCTTCGGGGTATCTGCAGAATTTCCTGAATCAAATATAAGACTTTTTAGGACCTGCACAAACACAATTAATATTGCATGTCCACACAGAACAAAACTAGCACAAAATAACTCATGCACCTCAGATTCTTCACTTAATTAAACGGGCTGAAGCACATTCAACTGCAAAACTGTGCAAGTTTAAAATTCTCAAGACATGTTTTACTAAATACTGTGCATAGTAGTAATATATCAGTACATAAGAATTAGAGTTCAATTGATGCTGGATTTTGCTGATGCAATAATAAAGATCACTGCATCAGCAATAATCAAGATTATTGCATCAGGATTGCATCCTTTAAGATTATAATAAAGTTCTGATCGTTGCAAAATCTATACATTGCATGTTAAATAATGTTCTTAGTCTTTGCTTTCTGTGACAGGGACTGTGCAAATTATATCCCCCAAAAAAAGACTTTATGCATAATGTGGGGCATTTAGTTATAAAATACACCAGGACTTTTATTTTGAAATGTCTACGCTTTACTACTTCCAGCTGCTCATTCAAACAGATGAGGGAGAAAGAATATGCACACTTACAACCATCTACAATATATAAACAAAGCAAACACTGTCCTAATTTAATCATCTTTTGACAGTATTCACTGAACAGAAACTGTGTTTGTGTGCCTGTCACTGTGTTAAACTAAGTTGCAAACGTTTTTTCCAAACAATGGGTGAGTGGTTGACTTCATTATTTATCATGCTTCATAAAAGCCTGCATTGCAAAACAAACAAATAAATAAATAAAACTATAGGCTGAAGCCTTCCACTACACAGCGTAAATGCTGTAACTTGTCACTTTTTTTTTTTAATGGCTAGAACTCATTTCTTAATACTAAAATTCACTTTCTTTCCAAAAAATCTTCACACAGTTCTCCTAACCAACTTTTAGCTTGGCACAGCAGGAAATATCACATTCAAAACGCACTAAAACTTCCAAAACACTACATGCTGTCTCAAATTAATTATTATAAATTATTGACACTATTTATTGTTCACGGCAACAATTATCCTGAAGTGTCTCCTTCTGTATAGATGGGAATGAAATTAGCTATTCAGCTCCATCGAATTGTTTTGATATTATTTCATTTCAATATGGTATTACTGTAGAAATGTCTTATTCAGTTTTGCATTATGTTAGGCTTTGAAATTAAGTTTTACAGTTTTGAAATTAATATGCAAACATGTGCATGTAGGTCTAGGTACACTTTGGATGTTTTGGATGCACGCAATTATTCATGCAATCTGAAAGACTGAACTGAATGCATTTTGTGCCAAAGCAATGTAAAATGATCCACAGCTTAGCTGCGTGAAGAGTTTTGAAAAAGTGACCCAAGTGTTGAGAAACTGCTCTTAGAGACTGTATACTGAAATAATAATTGCATGTTTAAAAAAAAACCAGTCAAGCTGGTGATGAGGGGAGAGAATCATGTGCATGTTATCAATTAGTCACTGAAAATGAAGTATGCTGAGATGTGTCGTCATCCAGCTGACATACACTTTATATATTTAATATATTCTCTACACTGAACATGTGAAATAGTGAGTACCTGTAAAATGGGCGCAGCGGTGTCATGGATGGAGAGGATGTGTGTGATGTTGTTTCTGGCTAACTGCTCCCTGTCTCTGGCATCTGTAAGAACACATCCACACGTTTATCATCTTTCCTAAACATGCACCTTTTTCAAAACGGCGTCGTGGATTCTAGCGGTCTTACCTTTGAAATTACCCAAGTACAGGTCTGGCAGAACCTGGAACGACAACCAAACTAGAACTTAACACTCGCTCGGTTTTCCTCAGATCGACAGCTAATGTGTTGCATTCAAACATCAGCTCACAACTCGAAATAGTTTTGCAGGATCATCTGAATTTGCTGTAACATCATGTTTTTGTAAAGCTGTTAAACAAGCTGATATACTCTGGGACGAGAGACAGCTATACGGTGAAGGCATGCATTGTGTTTATGCATATGGTATTTTTCATAAACGTCAAGTTTGGGCACATCGTCACATTTTTATTTAAGTTGTCAAATAAACCTCATAAGTTTGCATTCTTCATTTCTTGGTCAAACCAGTGGTTTGATATTTCTGTGTTAGTTTTTCCACTTTTAAAGATCATGTTCTGGATTACGTTATCAGATTCCAAAAATTAAGCACTTGTAATTTTGTAGTGCTCGTAATCAGATTACAGTTACTTTTTAATGGATTACATATTATTCACACAATGGCAGTAAATTATTCATAATCTTCTTCTTTTATTCTTTTACATTTTCCAAACTCCTTTGACATTATATTTACTTGACAAACTTAACACCCATTCGCATGTTTAAAGCTCAATCGTCTTGTATTTTAGTGTTCAAGTGTTTAAATAATTAATTTTATTTTGCATTTTTATGATTTCATTAATTATTAGTGTTTAAATCGTGTAAAATTAAGTGTAAAATTTGTGTTAACTGATGGACTGGAGTGCTGTGGATTATTGTGATGTTTTTATCAGCTGTTTGGACTCTCATTCTGACGGCACCCATTCACTTGCAGTGAGACACTGACGCAATGCTACATTCCTCCAAATCTAAACTCATCTACAATGCTAAGGTGTTTTATCACGTTGCTATGAACAATTGTTAGCACGTTGCTATGTGGTTGCTAGGGTATTGCTGTTGCCAGAGTATTTCTATGCGGTTGCTAAGGCTTTCTAGTAGTTAGCGCGCTGCTCTGTGGTTGCTATGTTGGTTGCTATGTTACTTTAGGTGGTTGTCAGCGCGTTGCTAAGCTGTTCCAAGTAGTTCTGAACGGTTGCTAGTGTGTGTTTTTGCTTTCTGGCCCAAATCAACTTACAGTCTAACTGTTATGATGTTCTTTAGACACGTCTCGGGTCACTGTAAATAGATTTTTTTATTTAATTTATATTCAAAGACACGTGATTTGAGAAGTCCATGACAGTTGCGTGCATTAGTTTCGTTCTTAGTTCATGAACAATTGTTAGCACGTTGCTATGTGGTTGCTAGGGTATTGCTGTTGCCAGAGTATTTCTATGCGGTTGCTAAGGCTTTCTAGTAGTTAGCGCGCTGCTCTGTGGTTGCTATGTTGGTTGCTATGTTACTTTAGGTGGTTGTCAGCGCGTTGCTAAGCTGTTCCAAGTAGTTCTGAACGGTTGCTAGTGTGTGTTTTTGCTTTCTGGCCCAAATCAACTAACAGTCTAACTGTTATGATGTTCTTTAGACACGTCTCGGGTCACTGTAAATCTATTTTTTTATTTATTTTATATTCAAAGACACGTGATTTGAGAAGTCCATGACAGTTGCGTGCATTAGTTTCGTTCTTAGTTAAATCAAAAGCCCTGAGTATATGCGCAACAATGACGCGTTCTTTAATGCATATGATTCAACATCGAGATTACACTCCCTCTCAAAGTTACAGTCCTAAAGCAGGAGGAGAGGGGAAGTCATGCCCATCTACCTTATTGATCCCGTTTCCCATGCCACAGTGTTTCAGGAGTCCGCTTGTATCGAGTTCACATCTAACTCTATGTTGTGTCGTGCAGAGTCCACGCGCTCGACGAGAATCTCTTAAAGGCACAGTACACACTATTACCGACACCCAGCACTGTTCACAAACTCGTGATGCTACAGAAGCTTGATTAAATTACTCGCAGTGGTTTCATGCGAGCAGGACTGCATTGACTTGAATATCTGTAATTAAGATTAAAATTAATATAAAAGTGCACGGGCAAAACGTTTTCCGTCACTTTGATCCTTTTCTGCAATATGGGCGAATAAAGACATTACATTTAAACGTGGATACGATAGAGGACACTTTTAGGAATTATAACATGTTTTCTGAAATACTTTATTCTGATTGGCCAGTCCGTTCTGTACTGTTTCTGCACATAAACCCGTAAATAATTCCGATTTAAATTTATTGCCAAGTAAAATTTATTTGGACACTTAGCCTACTTATCTCTTACAACTGCCTTTTTTATTTATTTATTTTTTTTTTTTAGAAAAGCAGTTTTTAAATGTTTATTTGTTGAACAGTTACCAACATAAACTATTAGCACTAGATTAAAATGCGTCGTGGCGATCTGGTTTTCTGCTGCTGGTTATTTCTGTCTTCCTGATTTTTACTTTCACTTTGTAACCTAATATCCAGGAAGCGAAGGAGAAGTGCATATAGGCGTTATGTTACACGGTAGGTCTTACACTTATGTACTGTTGTGTTTCTGAACACTTTTAAAGATGGTTTATCTAATATCTGAAGTCAACTAACGAAGAAAAAGTTGCATTGTTTCTGATTATTAGATGGAAAGCAGAAATGCCATATACAACCTTTCGAATATCTATTGATCTTCTAATGTGTTTCTGTGAACTGCAGTTTCGTCTGCGGCTCTTCATTCAAACTTTGATCGTCGGCAAATATGCAAATAGTTTTGTCCGACAGAATGTTCTTCTTCAGCTAACTCTGGGTTTCATTCTGGAGTTAGTCTGCTCTGTCACATGTTTGTGTTGCTCTAGGGAAGCTGTCTTTAGGAAGAGAGGAACTATGGCTACAGCTGCGAGCCTGAGTCTTATGAAGTCAGCAGATCTGATCAAGAAAGAGCCTTTGGATTATGGAGGGTTTGGGGAGGTTTACCTGTGTTACCACAAAACCCTGGGCCAGGTGGTGCTGAAGACGGTCTACACCGGCCCTCCGCGCAACGGGTGAGTGCTCGAGACCAGTGCTGCCTCGGGAAGTTACTGTTAAAACGAATGCATGACAATATTGCGTTATTCCAAAAAAAAAAAAAAAAAAAAAAAGTACCGATTTACGTTACTTAGTTACTTTTTATGGAACGTAATGCGTTACGTTACTTTTTAGATCTGGGCGGGGCTTGCTTGTTTGTTTTTAATATAAAAAGGTTCTACAAAAGTAAAAGTTCTTTCACAACAGAAGTGAGATGAGTGCGCCTCAGGCTGCAGGTACAGCAGAGAACCAAACACATGAAGAATATGACGCAGGAGAAGAAAGTGCAACACTATTCAGCAATAACACTAATAAATGTGTCATTTTTGATTATTAGTGTGCTTGAATCGGATCATCGAAGGTCAGCAGCAAAGACATCGGTTAATAAAATAGGATTAAAGTATATTTGTGTTATTTAACATATTTAATTAATGCACGTTTGCGTCATATTCTGAGTTTGCATTTGACTGTTTTTATTATATTTGATTGTGAGGAGCACTGAATGTGTTTGTGTGCAGTGAGATGAGTAAACACATGTTGATATTTAGTCTAGAGCTACAGTAAGATCATGTTCACACACAACGCTCTGCACTGACTCCTGATTTCTGTCACCGTGGCAACACCAGAGCACATGAGAAACATAGCAACACGCCAGTTACTTTGTTTCCGTGTATTGAGTGACAGCTCTGGTGTTGCCACGGTGTACTTCATTTGAAAAAAGTAACTCGGATATTTCCTTCTAAATTAAAAAGTACTTACTAGTTACTTAAAAAGTAATCTGATTCTGTAACTCGCGTTACTTGTAATGCGTGACTTTCAGCTTCAGATGTTGTGTGAACTGAGTGAGTTGAATGTGTGTGTGTCAGCCGGCAGAAGCAGTCTCTTCTGGATGAAGGCAGTCTGATGAGCAGGTTAAGCCATCAGCGAGTGGTCAAGCTGCTGGGGGTTATTCTGGAGGACGGAGACTATTCTTTAGTCATGGAGCTCATTCCTAAAGGAAACCTGCTCAGCATGCTGGAGAGGGTAACGGCAGACTCTGTTTTATGCCAAAATACACGTGAAGTTTCACATGTCTGTGTTGTGAACACTTACTGTCCAAAAAACACACTGAATGTACCAAAACAGTTGTGCAAAAAACAGTATTAGCCCTTGTGCATCAGTTTAAAAACGTTACACAGAAGTCCTTTGACGAAATAGTCCATGTCATAAAAATATTATATTTTAATAAGTTTTTCGGCTTTCACTGACATAGATTTTCTTTTTTACCAACATCAGTGCTGATCATAAAAATATGGTTTGTTTTCAGGATTTTAACCATTTAAATGTCAGTTTGTTTACATAATGTCACTGTTGTTGTTGTTGTTTTTTTGTGAAAAATTGTGTTATTTTCCATATACTAAATGCTAAGCATATTTTTTTCTTTGGATTATTACAGTCCAAGAATTATCAATAACATTCGTTCTGATGCAGTGTCAGATTAAAACAAAAGCTGCATTCAAACACACACATCTCTCAGTACACACATTTATGTAATGAAAAGAGTAGATTTATATTTTAAAATAGTACACATTTTTAACCCTTGGCAAAGAATGCATGTTGTTATGCTCAGTGGCACTGGGATTAAATATTGCGACATTTTTGTCCTTAACATATCCGAATCATGTCCATGATTGTTTTGTGTGTTCATATTGCTAATGTGACAAAAGTCACCAAGTGTCATCTCATTCCGACGAAGCTACGATTTAAAAAAATTCGAAATATAAAATTTTTCGGTCAAAAATGACCGAAGAGGGCCAGAGGGTTAAGGTCCTAACTATTTTGTACCTAGTGTAAAAATATATTTATGAGAAAAAATGATGGCGGAATATGAACATTTCAGTACAAATACACGTTTTTTGACTAAATTTATCCTGTTTGCATTAACACAGCCAAACTGATATTAAAAAATAAAAAGAGAAAGATGTGCCTAAGGATGCACTAGGGTTCATTGTGAAAGTAATTTGAAAATCAAAATCTGTAACATTGGTATCTTGATGTAAATGCAGAAAAAATCAGACAATGTGTCTTTAATGTGCAAAATGCATTCACTGTATTCACAACCCACCTGCTGTCCCTTGCATGCTCTAGTATATAAACATTGTTTGCTTCAGTACCCGATTTGCATAATTCCTTTAGTGACTCGACAGATCCACAGACCGAGCGTGCAAATAAACAGCTCCTCTATTTGCAGTGAAATCCCTCTTCAGTTTGGAAATGTGCCACTTTTTGATGTCTTTAATATTTTGCTCACATCTGTTGCTCCAGGTGCCTGTTCCGATATCTGTGAAAGGAAGGATCGTTCTGGAGATCTTGGAGGGGATGGTTTATCTCACGGAGAACCAAGTCATTCACAAAGATCTCAAACCAGAGAACATCCTGGTGGACAAGAACTTCCACATTAAAGTAGGAAACTTCTCTCTGAATTCACCACAGTACACACTTTTTAAAAAAGCTAAATGTTGAAATATATCGCACAACTCTTTATATAAAGTTGGATATACAGTACACCCAACTTTATCTGCATGCATCCAGTATAATAATTTAGTGATATTATGTAGCAGATGTCAGCTGCTTGATTGCTTGTATCGTTACAAAATATAACCTCTGTTATCGCACAGCTCTAATCTGCTAAATGCGACTGTAAGATATTATAAACATTAACATCATGGTTTTCTGTAAAGCTGCTTTGAAACGATGTGTATTGGGAAAAGCGCTATAGAAATACATTAGACGTGAAGGATTTTCATGCACGCTCTTTCTCTGCGTCAGATCGCGGATCTGGGTCTGGCTACGTCTCAGGTGTGGAGCAAGCTGACTAAAGAGCAGTCTCGCAGACAGAGTGGTCTGGGCAAGAAGTCGTGTGCGCGCGCCGCTGGCACTCTGTGCTACATGGCTCCTGAGCACCTGAAGAGCATCAACACCTGCTCCACCGAGAAATCTGACGTCTACAGCTTCTCCATCGTCGTCTGGGTCATCCTCAGCGGCCGCGAGCCCTATGAGAGTGAGTCTCGCTTCAGAACCGCATGATTAACTAATTAACATGATTAACTAGCTGCAATGTGAGTTACAAAACGGACTCAGTAATAACAAAATTACTATATATATCACTCATGTGCTATTCGAAGACTTCATTTGCAAAAACCGATAATTCCATTCTTAACCATTTTCAGAAATCGTGTTTTTTCTTTTCTGTGCGTTCCAATTAATCTCAATCAAACTGCAGTTGGGCTATTTTCATTAGGTAAAAAAATACAGCTAACTATCACAATATAACACAGTGAAAACATGATAACATCATTTAAAAAAACATGATTTCTGAAAATTATCGAGTTATCGGTTTTTGCAAATAAACTCTTCGTATTCTTTTGTATATAGGTTTTTGTAAGGAACAGACTGAAATAATAAAAAATAATTATAATGTAAATTTAAAATAATAAAAATATATAAAATTTAAAAATAATAATTTTCATTATTCCTGTCAGGTTAAACAGCACAGTTCTTCTTTCTCAAAGAAAAAAAACTAAAGAGGCCCTGATTAGGTAAAAAAAACACAGCTAACTAACACAATAAAACACAATAAAAACGTGATTAAAAAACGTTATCTGTTTTTGCAAATAAACTCTTCATGTTCTGTTGTATATAGCTTTTTGTAAGGAACAGACTGAAATAATAAAATGTATTATAATATAAATATAAAATAAAAATTTTTTTATATTTATCAAAGAAAAATTTCCACACAGTTGTATTTTGATCATCATCATGATTTCTACTTCTTTTGATTTATCGAGCGTAATTGGTTGCGATATTTGCCCGCTGGTTATTTTTCCTGAGAACATTGTAATTTGGCATTATTCTGCGTTCATGTTTGCGGTTGCCAGATGCCAAGAGTTTAAATCCCCCCCAGTTTTTTCTTTTTATAAATTGAAATCTTCCCAGTGGTTTACTTAGAGGCATAGTTGACCCAAAGAAGAAAATTCTGTCATCGTTTACTCAGCCTCATGTCGTCCCAAACCTGTATGAGTTGCTTTCTTCTGTTGAAGGAATATAATACGAAGGAATTTTCCGTACTGATTTTAAATTACGTATTGTGTTTTCGGGTTACAGGGTTAAAACAGATTTGTCCTGGAAAATTACTAGTACCTTTTCAATTTCTCTAGATATTTTTCTTACAGTGTACTAAATGATCAACAATCACAGTTACAAGCTACTAACAAGGTGTATCATAAATTATTCAATTATTATTATTATATAATTGAACAATTGAAAATAGCAGCTAACTTAATTCAAGTGTTGTGTGTACTGCTAAGCATCTTTGGTTTCCTCTTTTTGTGTAATTTAGATGGAAAACGTGTGCCTTTTTATCATTTGAGTCACTTATCGAAAGTTGCTAAAAGTTGCCAAATAAATTTAAAAAATAGCTAGATTTGTTGCTTTTGGATCGCCCAGCCCTGATTGCATGCAGATGCTCTTTAATATTTGACCCCATTTCATATTTGCAGTGTATCAAACTCAAGACCAAGGTTTAGCAGTGAATGAAAATGTTTTGTTGTTGTTTTTCAGATGCCAGGAGTGAAGATCAGATCTGCCACTGTGTGTGTCAGGGTGAGCGTCCCGACGAAGCTCTGATCCCTCGACACACTCCTCAAGACGTCATCGAGCTCATGAAGACGTGCTGGAATGAAGACCCTCGTCTCCGGCCCACATTTAAAGGTAGAAGCCTTGAAGTTTCATCCTGGATACAAAATAAAGCGATAAGTCCCGTGAAGCCGTGTTGTTGTGTAGTGAGGGAAACTAACATGCATAATGTATGTAAATATTTTGTTCTATTTACCCATATTTTACATTATTGCCCCTTTTCACATTTTCAGGGGCGTTAATCAAATTGGCTTTATTACACTTTTAGCTGAGCGGAATATCTCAATGGAGATCACTAAACTCCAGTTTACATGTTTTCAGCTCATCAGCACCTTCTCCGTAACACTGAGAGAGTGAGTGCAAATGGTTGCGAGGTTGGGAATATTAAGTAAACTTCTGGGCAGAAAATTTATCCATTTAAGAAAAAAGCTCTGATTGGGGGATTTAAGCTCTTGACATCTGGCAACCGGAGACATCTGCATTGACAGACGATTGTGCTTAATAAATCATTTTCATATCATGACCACAATTGTTTTCTAAAATGAAAATATAATATATAACATATAATATAACAAAAAATAACAATGTTAATAACTAGGGAAATGCGTCATCGCAGTCTGTGAAAAAGGTCCAGCAATTTCTGAATGCAATAATAAAATTTGACTTACACTAATCATATTAGAGCGATTACACTGAGTGAATTCAAATTAATTGTTTCTTAGCCTGTAAAACTGTTTTTTGCAACAATGTTGATTGTACATGAGGCACATCCCAGCTAATGTTTTTTATAAGCTATATAAATGTCAGGACACAACATTCGTAATGTTCATGTAACGTTCTTATAACTTTAATAATGTTTGATGTATGTAACGTCTTTTCGTAACATTAAGATGAAACATTCTTAGAATGTTATTTGTACTTAATGAAGATTCTAAGAAACATTTTTGTAGCCTTTAGCGTTCTAATAACCACTGGACATTTTAACATTCTTAGAATATTAAAAATAAAGGTTCAAATGATGTTTTTTTGGGGGTGTGAAGATAAAGTTAGCAAAACATTCTAATAAATGTAACCTTTAAATAACATTCTAATCACATCAAGAAAACTGCGTTTTAGAAACATTTCAAAACAATGTTTCCACTAAGTTTTTCTAACCTAAATTTGATGCCTGATATTAGACGCTTGTAAATGCAATGCTGACTGTTCTTCTCGTCTGCAGACCCTTCGCCGTGTTCCAGAGACTCTCCAGGGCCCTTGAGGAGCTCAGACATCGGCCCGGTGGAGGCTAGCATCGAAGACCTCAGCTTCAGGACCCCAGAAGAGTCTCTGCTGGAGGTGGACGCCGCGCCTCCCAATCTGGAGCTCAAACTGGCACAAGAGTACAACTACCACAAATACGGCAGTCGTATAGTGGATCAGCCGGACGCCAGCGTTTATAACCTGCTCCCGCAGCAGCCGGCTAGCAGCAGGTGGGCCGGAGAGGCTTCTTCTGTCAAGTCTTGGACTAAACCCGCCGCTAACCCAAACCCAGACGAGGAGCTCCATCTGAGGCCTGCTGGCTCATTTGAGGGATTGCACAGGCCAGAGTTGGCGAGTCATCTCTCAGTGCCGTATTCTGACTACGACAGACTCCAGCATCCTCACCATCCGCCATACAATCGCATCAAGTCCTGTCCAGATAGTGCATCTCGTGCAGCGGAGTCTTTCATGCTGGATTCACAGCCTGGCCTGCGTTTATCACCTGTCGTATGTCCTCCATCTGACTCGGGTACAGTTAACAATTCACAACTAACAAGTCATTTCTGCAGTGCTTTATACCAGTGGTTCTCAAACTGGGGTACCTGAGTTTTGGCATTCATTTAATTCTACCCCAACTTAAAGTAACATTAAAACCGAACATGTATTTCTGACAAGCAAAATGCTGCTTCTAATGTAAAAACAGGAAAATGTTAGTTCCGGTCAAATACATGATATCCAATCAGCTTACCTCATCTTTTGTCATGTTTGTTCTATTTTGCAACTAAATAACAGTTCCAACGAAATCTGTATCATCTGGTGTGCATCTCCAAGCAACATACAGTGGTGTTTATTATATTAATAATACACTTAATGGAATGTTAAGAATATGACATAAAACATGACATACAATTAATAAGGATAAGCAAATATTTGCCTCTATAAAGGAAAAAAAAATGCACCTGTAAATCAATTTAAGGGGGCAAATAATGTCCTTTAATAGAAAAGGTGTGACTACGGTTTGAGAACCACTGCTTTATACAATACAGATTGTGTCAAAGCAGTGATGAACAGGAAAATAGCAGAATCAGTTTTCAACAGAATATGCCGCTCTAAAAGGATGGTGAATAGAAAGGGCTGCCCAATGAATCATATTTTAACCGTAGTCACAATTTCTCGATTTATTGAGCATAATCAACTGTGATATTTGCCTGCTGGTTATTTGTCCTGAAAGCATTTCATGTTAGTTTGGCATTATCTTGCGTTGGTAACAGGCCTCTACAAGCTTTTATGGTTGCGGTTGCCAGATTTCAATAGATAAATCCCCCAATAAGAGCTGATTTCATTAGGGATGCACCGAATGTTCGGCAACCGAAATTATTCGGCTCAAAATAGCAAAAAATTTCGGTGTTCGGCCGAATAAGCGAAAAGACTAAATAAATTGTACCGAACAATGACGTGACGCGATCAAATAGAGCCGCGCACTACTGCAGCCAACGTGTCTGCAGTGTGAAAGTATTTAAAACTGTCAGAGAAAGACGCAGAAATCATTAATTGCTCAGTCACATTTTTATTAATTTTTTTGAAGGCATGTGACAATGTGATATGTGCGGAAAACATCTTCCCAAATTTGTGATCTGCTGTTGTCAACAAAAAGAAGCACTGAGATATTCCTGTGGGTTTCTGCCACGATAAAAGCTGAGAAAAAGCAACAACTCCATCAACGTTCATAAATGCTGTAATTTTACTATCGTTCTGTAAAATAAAATTCAAAAGTAAAGCATTGGTAATGATAATAATAATTACCCTACAACAGCTTTATTAGGCTAATTCATTTATTATAACATTCACACACAGTGTTCAAATTGGGATCTGTAATATATTCTCATGTTTTAAAAGCAGTCTCTTCTGCTCCGCAAGGCTGCATTTATTTGTACAGTAAAAATGCATGCCTGATTCAAGAAGGGGGTCTTAAAAATGGCCCAAAAATATTATTTTACTTAACTTTAACTTATTCATTTTAAGTTAAATTGTGCTTTGTTGGTATAATGTCTGCTAGAATGTTTAAAAATGTTCAGTGTTAAGTAAATATTTTTGAAATTGTTGTTTTGTAATTTTTTTTATTTATTTGAAAAGCAGGAAAAAACAGTAAAAAGCAAATGTTTGCTATTTCATTTATGCAATGGTGAAAAAAATGGCAAAATACAGTACATGGGTTGGGAGCGGAAAAACCGTGTTCTGCATTCGGCCTTCGGCCCAGTGTTTCATTTTGTTCGGCTACGGCTTCGGCCAAGAATTTTAATTTCTGTGCATCTCTAGTTTTCTCTATCTCTATATTGAAACAGATCATTCATGAGATTCATACAAATACAAAGCAATATTATTTTAGCATCCTTCAGATCCACCTTTATGTGTCTGGCTTCTGGTGTCCTTCGCTTCCGGCTATTTGAAGCTTTACAAAACAGCTAATTTTGCTGCTTGATTGATTGCAAACTAGTGTGTCTTTCCATATTATTTTAATGTGTTATCTTATGGTTTAACAGTTTTACCATTTACTGCACTTTGTTATTCTTCTTGTTATTTCCCAACCGCGGCCAACGAACCTGAAGTCTCACACATTCACAGAAAATGGCTTACTTCCGCATTGAAAAATAAATATTATTTTTGTTAATATTTTGGAATTATATTTCATTTACTTTTATTTTAGTAAATGTTTTGGTAGTTTTGTTGTGTGTTTTTGTAAATTGCATTAGTTTTTTTTTGTCTGTGTTTTTATTAACTTGTATTTATTTATTTTTAGTACTACCAGTTAAACTAATCGAAAATTATAAATGTTGCCTAGGCAACTAACTGAATGAAATCATTTATTTCAGTTAGCAATAGCCGACTGATAGCAATCACTAAGTCTAAAGTGGTCTAAATGTATTTAAATGTATTTATATTGTCTCTGGAAGGCATAGAACCATAAAATGTTCGTCCAATCATATTCCTCGGTCCGAACATTACGATATGCTGTTATACAAGCCTGTCAACGTCAGAGACTTCATCAGCGCGTTCATTGCGCTAATGCAGATCGAGCGAGAATAGAAGGCCTTATTATTGTATTATTATGCGCGTTGTACTGTATTGTTTTCTCAGCGGTGAATGAGACATGAGCTAATAACATAAGTTTGGGTAGTTATATGAATTATCTATATCTATATCTATATATATATATATATATATATACATAATATAAAATTTTCTCCTGATGTGTTTGGTTGTCCATTAGGGTGGCCTGTGACCATCTCGAATGCCAGTGCCATTCAGATCGGGAGTTACAACACGATGAATCTGCGAGTGTCTGATAACAGCTCCTTCAGCTTGTTATCCACCGGATCCAGCAACAGAACCAGATATAACAAGCTTCTGCTGAAGTACGGTAAGACTGTCTCTGTTTCAGTGAGCTGCTCTCTAATTAAATAAGCACTAATTTGCATACATTTCCAGAACAAAAATCTGAACACTGAATTATTCGATTTTTTTGGGGGACATATTAAAGGTATTCACAGAGGGGATTTTGGATTTGTCTTTTTATCACTCCATTAATCAGAAAATACTCTCAAAAGCCAGAAATAAAATAATTTTTTTTAGGAATAAAATGTTAATTATATATGTAAATTATGTATTATTATTATTATATACAAATCTCTCTCTAAAAGCCTTCAGAAAATAGAAGTAAACATGTAAGGTTTCGCGTGTGTAAGTGCTGCTGAAGCAGAGACTGTAACTACAGATGCAAATAGATAAAGTGCAATTAAAGCAACACCTAAAAGTGTATTTTGGATGTTTTCTTTACGCTAATTTGAAACAACAGTTTATGGAAAGCCAAATAGCCCAAAATCTCATGCATGTTTTGTGGCTGTAGTGCCTCGCCTTAATAAAGCCCTCATTTTATAGTAGTCCTGACTGAACTCTCATTGCTTTATTAGTGCCAGATGTGTTTGATTTTCTCTGTTTGATTGTGTTGTGATGGTCAGAGGAGCACACGGTCACTGAGAGCCACCTGGAGGTCGTGCGTCAGAACGTGGGTGGAAACTGGAAGCAGGTGGCTCGTAAACTGGGGCTGTCAGACATAGACGTGGACACGGTCGAGCACGACTACGACCGCGACGGCTTGGCAGAGAAGGTGCACCAGACGCTGGAGCGCTGGAAGATGAAGGAGGGTCTGCTGGGCATCACCGTGGGTAAACTGTGCCGTGCGCTGGAGGGCTGCATCAAACCCAGCGTCCTCCTGCAGCTGCTGCTGAAGTCTCAACACACCGCTGGAGTGCCTTGAAATGCCACCTTGTGCTTGTGTCATAATTACACTGGGTTACGGGGCATTTATACAACTCTTAACAACCTTCCTCAAACGGTGAAACCTTACAAAGACGTGCAGTATTTTTGACAGCCTGACATTCATCACTGTATGATGGTGTTGGATGCGACGGAATAATGATTGCAATTCTGTGAACGGATCATTGCACAAACGTTATGTGATCTGAGAGGACATTTCCACGACACCGCTTACAACAAAAATGGGAAATCGTTCATTTGCACAAAAGCCTTGAAAATGCTAACTTTTAAAAATGGGATTCAAATGGCAAATTTTTGATAATGATATTGTTGTTGTCTGTCTGTAAACTACAAAAACACATATTTGTGAAAGCGGTGAGGTCATGCGCATGCGTATCTCATGTTTGTGTAGCGTTTCTTCACAAAGACACATCTATTAATGGTTTGTGGTCGTTTTCGCAGATTCGTGTGAGCGGGGATCGTGTTGACAACATTTTGACAACTTTTCTAAAATGCAAAAGAAAACCTTTTCCGTTTTTAGTGCATCGTTTTCGTGTAAACGTACCCTGAGCTCAGAATAGATTCCTGCAAAGTGCCTTTTTCCTGTTTTTGATCAGTCGAATCAGCCTTTATATTTCAATTGTCATGATTCTAAGATGCTTTATGATTTGTTTTTTAGGACTTAAACCTGAATGCACACTGACTTGAGTTTATAAATCATACAGAATGTTAAATGTTAAAATGCCTGTAGTTTTCTGTGAGGTGTAGGGTTGGTTTAGGGCAATAGAATATAAATCCGCTGCCAAATCCAGTGTGTGGATAATTCTGAGTAGCGAAATGAGATGATGATAAAGATACGATAGTGACACATCCAAAGAAAAACCAACATAAAGTGTATTTTATGGTGTTGGGCCACCAAAAGAGCTTCAATGCATTTTGGCATTGTGTCTTAAAATTAAAGGTTGTTTATTGATAACGCTGGATGGATGGCTTTATTGACATATACATGGATGTTTAACAACCTTAAACATTCATGAAATCTTTCCATTGCACAAAAGGTTCTTTATAGTGAACGTAAGGTTCTTCAGATTATTAAAAAGTTCTTTACACCAAGAAAATAATGGTTTTCTTAAGAACTGATCAGTGAAAAGGTTCTTTGAGGAGTCCAGAATGGTTGTTCTGTGGCATCACTGTGAAAGCTTGATTTTTCAGAGTGTGCTGAAGGGATGAATGACTCTTCTTCCAAAAGATATTTCCTCATTTGGTGTTTTGATGATGATGATGATGATGTTGGAGAGTGCTGCTTTCCCTCTGGTTTCAGATCTGGTGACTGTGATCTGTGTGAATGGGACACAATCCCATGTTTCCAGGGACCCAAACCATGATGTTAGCAGAATGCTTATCAATGCATAACAGCTACCCTGTGGATTGTCTATTCATTTGTCACTTGTTTGTATGTTTTTAATGCCATATCAATCCAACTTTTATTAAAACTACTACTGTAATGAAATAATCTCTCATTTGTCTATATGTGACATAGGAAGTGGCCTTCTTCAGTTTATCTATATAGCTCGAGGTCAGTAGAGTGTATATAAACAGTGTCTAACACACTAAATCAAGACTTTATTAACAGTTACACTATGACCTTCAAGCAGCAACCACTGTGTTTGGTTTTATAATGACTATTAGAAGCCAGAATGAAAGTGTTTACATTTTTCCGACAGAAGTCACATACAGTGTATATTGCACTTTCATAATTGTGTGTGTGTGTGTGTGAGAGAGAGAGAGAGAGTGTATGTGTGTGTGTGTGTGTGAGAGCGAAAGAGAGAGAGAGAATGAGAGAGTGTGTGTGTGAGTGTGAGTGTGAGAGAGAAAGAGAGCGAGAGTGTTTTTGTTTGTGTGTGTGTGTGTGTGTGAGAGAAAGAGAGCGAGAGTGTGTGTTTGTGTGTGTGTGTGTGAGAGAGAGAATGTGTGTGTGTGTGTGTGTGAGAGAGCGAGTGTGTTTTTTTGTGTGTGTGAGTGTGTGTGTGAGAGCGAAAGAGAGTGTGTGTGTGTGAGAGAGAGAGCGTGTGTGAGAGAGAGAGCGTGTGTGTGTGTGTGTGTGTGTGTGTGTGTGAGTGTGTGAGTGTGTGTGTGTGTGTGTGAGAGAGAAAGAGAGCGAGAGTGTGTGTGTGTGTGTGTGTGTGTGAGAGAGAGAGCGTGTGTGTGTGTGTGTGTGTGTGTGTGTGTGAGTGTGTGAGTGTGTGTGTGTGTGTGTGAGAGAGAAAGAGAGCGAGAGTGTGTGTGTGTGTGTGTGTGTGTGAGAGAGAGAGCGTGTGTGTGTGTGTGTGTGTGTGTGTGTGTGAGTGTGTGAGTGTGTGTGTGTGTGTGTGAGAGAGAAAGAGAGCGAGAGTGTGTGTGTGAGAGTGTGTGTGTGTGTGTGTACCATAATGTGTATGTTTTCATTAATTACATTTTTCCACATCCCAAGGAAGTTGATGTGGAATTTGAATCGGAAAGGCAATAAATGGGAAATAAAAACTGAATTGCAGTGCATTGAGTTTAACAGCAGTGGCATTTCATGAGTCAAACACAAGTCTAGGGGAACAAGGGAAGAACATCTTTAAAGTTCATGACATTTGCCTGTCTACAGATTTCAATCCAGAGTTTTGAAACTTTTTTTGAACAAAAAACTAGGCAAACATTGCAAATTATATTATAAATGTAATATATGCATGGCCACAAATTAAGAATTAGTTACTGTTTTAGTAAATAGCCTCGTTTATATGGAGCCTGAGGCGTGACATGAAAAAAAATGTGGCCATGAATTATTTATCACAAATGACTACAACGTGGCTGTTATGCATGCTATATCTTGTGTTCTGATGCAGTAGTATCCTACTTTACTAAAGTGCGAAAGGCTTTTAGTCCTCAGTTACTATCCCCAAATCCTTCTCTCTTGTCCTTGTGTAGGCTACTAATAAATAAATATGAATAAACATTTTATTTATTTTTACAACATACAAATCTCAAGATATCTTCTTTTGTGTTCAGCATAAGAAATAAACTCATGCAGGTTTGGAACAACATGAGGGTGAGTTTTATGTTTCATGTTTAATGAGACATGCTTTATAATTAATTTATAACTTTAATCAGGTATAGGCTAATCAAGAACTAGTAGGTCACACTAAAATTATGTTAACACATTGTTTACATCTCGGCTGTACTCCTGAAACAAGTATTTTAATGTTAACAGATCAGCTCATGTTCGCTTCAGTTCTTTAAATGTAAAGACGCAAGTTTTTGTGGGCAGGTTTATTAATGTCATTGTTTGTTTGTTAATGCCAACAATACATTGTATGGGTCAAAATTATCGATTTTTCTTTTATGCCAAAAATCATTAGGATATTAAGTAAAGATCATGTTCCGTGAAGATATTTTGTAAATTTCCTACCGTAAATATATAAAAACTTAATGTTTGATTAGTAATATGCATTGCTAAGAACTTCATTTGGACAACTTTAAAGATGATTTTCTCAATATTTAGATTTTTTTGCACCCTCAGATTCCAGATTTTCAAATATTGTCCTCTCCTAACAAACCATACATCAATGGAAAGCTTTTATTCAGCTTTCAGATGATGCATACATCTCAATTTTTAAAAAATGGACTCTTATGACTGGTTTTGTGGTCCAGGGTCACATTTCAATAATTTAACAACACATTTGCATGTTTATAGTTTTCCGATTCTGATTAATAGTCACACTGACATGCAGGTAAACAAATGCAATACTTATATTTTTATTGTTAAAGTGTTTAAATAATTAACTTCATTTGACATTTTTATGATTTAATGAATTATTAGCTTTTTAACAACTCTCAAGCCCACTAACATTAAGCCCAGTTTGGGAAACCCTGGTGTAAAGTCATGTTTGACGCATTTCATGATGTTGATATGAAAAAGTGGAATATATTTTCCTGCCCTTTGCTTTTTTATATCAATATGATACATTTAATGGTAAGTTTAAAACAAGTTGGATAAAAAAAAGTAAAAGTTTTGAAGCAAAAACAGAATGGTTTGACCAGTTTTGTGAAACTATACATTAAAAAATATCAGCATGAAACCGAAACAGCAGACGAGCTGAACGAGACGCAGATGCACTCTCTGCCAGCAGGTGGCGCTTAAAGCCATCACCTCATGTTGCAGCATGATAATGCACGGCCCCATGTTGCAAGGATCTGTACACAATTCCTGGAAGCTGAAAACATCCCAGTTCTTGCATGGCCAGCATACTCACCGGACATGTCACCCATTGAGCATGTTTGGGATGCTCTGGATCGGCGTATACGACAGTGTGTTCCAGTTCCTGCCAATATCCAGCAACTTCGCTCAGCCATTGAAGAGGAGTGGACCTCTTCCACAGGCAACAATCAACAACCTGATCAACTCTATGCGAAGGAGATGTGCTGCACTGCGTGAGGCAAATGGTGGTCACACCAGATACTGACTGGTTTCCGGGCGGTTTGTTTAGCATCTCAACCGATTTTAATCGATTTTCAACCGTCTCGCGGCTAATCGTTACATCCCTAGTAACTGGTGATTATTGCATCTCTTTCTGAATGTCACTGTGTTCACATGTGGTCCTGGTTTGATCAGCGTGACTTCGGACAGTGTCTCTTGACGTGGGTCAGCAGATTGCTGGACTGAGTGAAGCTCCTGCCGCAGAGCGGGCAGTGGTAGGGTCTCTCTCCGGTGTGCACGCGCTCATGTCTCTTCAGCGCTCCGGAGTGACTGAAGCTCCGGCCGCAGTGCGAGCACGTGTAGGGTTTCTCTCCGGTGTGAACGCGCTGGTGCATCTTCAGTGCGTTGGCCGTGACGAAGGCGCTGCCGCACTCGGAGCAAGCGTGCGCTCTCACGCCGCTGTGGATGCTCTCGTGATCTTTGAAAGTGCAGAGGCGTGAAAAACTCTTGCCACAGATAGAGCACAAGAAAGGCTTCTCGTTTGAATGGATGGACAGGTGCGTTTTCAAGTGCGACGCCAGGATGAATTTTTTCCCGCACTGGTCGCAGGTGAACGGTCTCTCGCCCGAGTGATAGCGCAGGTGACCTTTAACATCCGTGGCCCGCTTGAAGGTCTTCCCGCACTGAAGGCACGTGAACGGCCGGGCTTCGCTTCCTTTAGTTCGCTCTTGACCGATGTTCAAGGAGTTTTCTCCAGCTGTGATCTGCTGAGGTTTCTGATACTGATGGTCTGATTCACGGTTCCACGGCGTGTCGTTCGGTTCTTCACTTTCATCCGATGGGTCTAAAATGAACAAAATAAATAGTTGGTAAAAAAAACAGATGTCACGTAACTATTTTGATCTACTTGGCTATAATAATGCATTTATCATTGTTTAACCCTATAAAGCCTGCTGTATCATTTTTTATTTTTATTTTCAAAAATGTCTCTAAATGATCAACATGATTGAACTTTGCACAATCTAAAACAATCTCAGTTTTTAATCCAGTAAAAACTCTTTTAGTGTAATTGTAGCACGTGAACGGCCGGGCTTCGCTTCCTTTAGTTCGCTCTTGACCGATGTTCAAGGAGTTTTCTCCAGCTGTGATCTGCTGAGGTTTCTGATACTGATGGTCTGATTCACGGTTCCACGGCGTGTCGTTCGGTTCTTCACTTTCATCCGATGGGTCTAAAATGAACAAAATAAATAGTTGGTAAAAAAAACAGATGTCACGTAACTATTTTGATCTACTTGGCTATAATAATGCATTTATCATTGTTTAACCCTATAAAGCCTGCTGTATCATTTTTGATTTTTATTTTCAAAAATGTCTCTAAATGATCAACATGATTGAACTTTGCACAATCTAAAACAATCTCAGTTTTTAATCAAGTAAAAGCTCTTTTAGTGTAATTGTACAAGCGTCCAGCTTCAGCGTCTCGTGTCAAATCTTGACTGGTTTTGATCAAGTAAACCTCAGAATAATATCTCCAGATGAACACTTACTGCACTGAAGCAGCTCAGCTTTACTTGATTCTCCATCAATCATGTTTTAGAGTCTCAAATCTGATCCTCAGGATCTTTTGAGGAGCGTTTGTTTCCAGAAGCTTTACTTTCACTGTTCCTCAGCGGAGGAATGATCTTCACAAGCCTCCAGAACATCTCACATCTTCTGAGGAGCCTTTATTTCTTCAGCTCTCAATCACTGCGTTATATGTGTGGAGCATTTCAGTCTCATCTTATTATTACTGGAGATATAGAGCGACCGCTGATATTTAGATCACTTTATGTCAGTATCTGCTGTACTGTTATAAAGCTGTGTTTGATTTACATCACAAGCAGCAGAATTTAATCCTTTTATATATATATATATCTCTCTGTTTGATGTATTGTGTACACAAACCTCTTTGTTCCTTGTTTTCATCGTCATTTTTTATTTGGGATGATTCTGCATCACTCATGTCTTCAGTCTTTAATAAACTCCACCTGTACAATATTACGCTATAATAAGATCAGTTTTTCCCCTAGTTGACCAGATGGTAGAAATATTCAGCATTTACTGATGAACTGGTGTAAATTGTGATCACTCTGGTGTTGAAACCTAAAGAAAAACACAAAAAGTGACTTAATTTACACATGCATGCATGCATTTACATTACTGTAATGTGGATATAGAGAATCAATCTTTATGTGTTTATAGTACAGAAGAAAAATGTTGGTTATAAAACACCAAAATCTGCATATGAAGTCATTTTTGCTTAAACTGACCATCTGTCATTTGGCCGTTTTTATAATTGTTTTGGAATCATTGTTCAGTACTCTCTTGGTGTAAGTGGACACATGGGTTTGTCTGAGCTTATCTTGCACTTTGAGAGTTGGTTTCTATCAAACATGAGATAGAGCAGCATCTTCTGCTCTTGATTCTGTGCTATTCTGTCAGTCTGCTACTTACGAGGAGCTGCATCAGATTTCTTCATAGCTTACTCCAATGCAATGCAATTATAAGAATGTTTATTGCATAAATAAGCAAACTAAGAAAACCTCGTTCAATATTCCCAAACTCTTTGTTGTCTCCGCGGTCATGTGATCAATCTTCCGGATCACGTGATCTCGACGCAGTTTTCTCTCTCGCGTTATTTAGGTTTCATCACAGCATCACCATTAGTCCCTTATTTCTTTCATTCATTTGATATTTTACAGCATTTAGTCATCTTGGTTAATGTTGTTTTATACACCGATGCAGTCCGCTTAATGTGCATTGTCAGATTTGCTTGAAAGTTATTATTTTAGTATTTAAGGTGCACACAGATCATTAAAATATAATACACAATTTTGAAAGAATATAAACGACGTTATAAAAGTAATAATATATTTTATTTATTGACTCCGCAATTAGTAAAAGGGGGAGTGTGTTGCTATGCAGAAGATAAAATAATCATAAACAATATTATCGACATGTTATGCATCTGTAATAACTAACACGTGCCTAAAGCCTATTGTAAATACACAACAACAAAAATGTGCTTTTCACCTCTGTAAGAAGTAATGGTTAATTCTCAATACATTACTGTTCAACAGCTTAGTTTAACTCAATGGTTTTGAATGGAATTAACAAATGAGATAAATAGATACCGATGTCATCAATAATTAATTTGGTAGTTTTGCTCCTCCCAGATATTTGATCAATCTCATAGGCTACATTTTAACTAATTAAATATTGCTTGTTCTACAGCTAGCTGTATTTTAATCACCTTCGTACTTGTTAACTGAATAAATAGTTCTCAGAAGCAATTTGAATAAATGCATTTTAATTGCATTCATTTTAGTTAGTTGTGCCCGTTTCATTTATCTATGACTGGGCGAATATGCGTCACATTAAAGGAATAGTTCACCCAAAAAATAACATTTGCTGAAAATGTCCTCATCCTTAGACCATGTAGATGAGTTTCTTTCTTCATCAGATTTGTAGAAATGCATAATTCCATCGCAGTCTCGTCAATGAATCCTCTGCGGTGAATGGGTGCCGTCAGAATGAAACCAATCATCAATCAATCAAGACGTTTTTAATGTAATAAGCAGAGGTCGAGCACTGTTTACAATCCTAAACAGCTCTAAACAAATATGTCTTTGGATTTTGATGCGAGAGACAACAGCAGATGCACTCTTTCACTGGAGGAAGCGTTATTATGGACTCAATGTTTTGAAGTTAAAAAGGTCTTAATGCTGGATGTGTTTCAGCTTTTGTCTTCTCCAGATGTTAACTGATGGACTGGAGTGCTGTGGATTACTTGTGGATTATTGTGATGTTTTTATCAGCTGTTTGGACTCTCATTCTGACGGCACCCATTCACTGCAGAGCATCCATTGCTGAGACACTGATGCAATGCTACATTTCTCCAAATCTGATGAAGAAATAAACTCATGTTTGTTCATGTTAAAACTGTAGAATCAAAATAAATGGAAATTAATTCCAGTACATACATTTTAAATTTATTTCAATAATGACAACTCTCTGAAGATTGAACATGGTGATGGATATGACAATGTTAATGTATTTGGTCTTGGCGGAATAGATCTGCTACGCTGCTGCTGCTGTTGGTTATTGCTGTAGTTGTAGATTATTGCTGCTGCAAGCAAGTACAGGAACTTGCTACTGCCAATGCATACAGCGATACAGTGCTGTGAGTATTTAAGACATGCTGCTGCTGCACAAATAGCTGATAAAATAAGCCGTAGCAAATCTATACAGTTGGAGCTGGGGAAGGTGGAGGGTTTCAGAGAAACTCTGAATGCGTGCTACAGGAATCTCTAGTGAATGCTAGCCAGCCATATAAATGCAAGACAGAAAGCTCATTGGCTGCATATGCAGCATGAACCAATCAGCTTGTGCTAAGTCATTTAACTCTCTGAATATCATCGGTTACATTAACAACCCGTCGCCTGCACCATCTATAGAGTTTCATGACTGAACAATATATTACATTTTCATTGTCTTAACATCATACTTTTTTATTTATTGATTAGCACTCAGTTTCCTTTGTTACTGCCCCTCAACATGTCCTTTGGGAAGAACTCCACTTTTGGCTTTTGTACCATTTACCTAGTGTCCATTTCTTTGGCCAGTGAGCAGCATGTTTTTCTATGAATCTGCAGATTTCTTGATGAACTGAATCTCCTCCTACATGAAGCGCAGTGATACGGCTTCGCTGCGGTGTGCAGTCGCTCGTGTGTTTTCAGGGATCCTGACCGAGTGAAGCTCTTGTAGAGTTTTTCTCGAGTGTGAATATTCATGTGAATCATCAGGTTGCATTTCCGTGTGAAACTCTTTCCGCACTGAAGACACGTGAAGGGTTTCTCTCCAGTGTGAATTCGTATGTGATTCTTAAGGACTTTTTTCTCAGTGAAACTCAGTCCACACTGAGGGCATGTGAACCGCTTCTCTCTGGTGTGAATTCGCACATGCATATTAAGGTTTCGTTTGCATGTGAAGCTCTTTCCGCAGTGATGACATGCGAAGGGTTTTTCTCCAGTGTGAATCCTCAAATGAGTGTTCAGGTTTGATTTCTGCGAGAATCTCTTTCCGCACTGAGGACACGTGAATGGCTTCTCTCCGGTGTGGATTCTCATGTGCGTATTTAGCCTTTCGTGGTGTGTGAAACTCTTTCCACATTCAGGGCAGGTGATGAAATGCTTATCACTCTGTGAGCAACTAAAAGGTTTTTCTTCAGAATTGAAATCAGAGGAATTCTGATAGTCGTGGTGCTTCTCGTCAAAGTCATTCAGTTTTTCATTTTCTTCTTTCACCTTCATCAAATCTAAAGAGAAAATAAAATAAAGAGTCAAAATATTCAGTTGTCACTCTGAAACACATTCAGTTTAGTCTTTTTAAAAGCAAGTTAAATTTTAATAGGATCATACATTCATCAAGAAGCTATTTGTTGATTGTTAAGAACCATTTTTTACTGCTTTTCACTGAGACCATCCCACATAGCACACAAACATCTAAAGAGTGCTTCGTCTGGAAATGATCTGCTGTGTAGAAAGATCTGGGGCCGTATTCACAAAACATTTGATCTTAGAACGAAGAGTTTTCCTGAATAGCAGCAAAAGTTCTTATGTAAGAACTTCCTTGTAAAACCTGTTCACAAAGCTGCTGAGTAGGGCTGTGCAATTAATCGAAATATGGTTTCGATTTCGATCTCCAATGATTATGAAAATACAATAATTGAGATAAAACAATTATTGTGCCCCATTCCGCCCCCTTTTCCAGCAGTGTGCTTTCGCTCCTCCATAAAAGCACAATTTTAAATGCACATCAGTAAAATTGTATAACGTGACTTCTGCAAAATGTGACATGCTTGATTTATTCATGTTTTTAAAAGCGCGAAAGAGATCTTGCGCTGTTCCTCAGGAGGATTTCTGTGCATGCGCTCAGAGACGGAACAGAGCACGGAGAAGTAAAGTGAACGTTTAGCTCAAGGTGCGTGCCTAAACGGTCAAATACACGCAAAAATGTGTTTAGTACCCTATAATACCCTCGTATTCTGCTGTGGTATTGATAATTGTGAAATTTCGCTTATCTATAAAATGTAGATGTCATAAACTTATTTACAGAAAAAATATATTTGATATATCACTATCGTTAAATAAATCACTCACAAAGTTTTGGTCATATGGCCCACTCATAATCAGTTTAAATAATCATGATTACAATAACTGTGATTATGATATTTGCCATAATCGAGCAGCCCTACTGCTGAGAGCAACTTTTACGGGGAGAAATATTAAGCTAAGAGAAAAGGCAGGGTTGAGCTCGTGGCTATGATGTCATGAAGCTTACTAACGTCTCGGATATGTATGTAACCCTCGTTGCCTGAAGGAGGGAACGGAGACGTCACGTACCGACGAATTGGGATCTCAATTAGAGAGACCAATCCACTTCGAGTGTAAACTAAACGAGCCAATGCACATTGGCATACGATGATTGCATCCAGCTGTCGTTGATCGCAGCGCGAGTATAACTAGGCAGCAGGTTCAACAAATACTCAGGTTTTCGCTGAGGAGCTGAGCCGGTGACCCGGCCGCTGCGCCCCCTTTTCGGTGTAGGCCAGGGCTCGCAACAAGAAGGCCAGTCACTGTTGTCGTAGCACTACCTACTCAGTGAGATTGGATAACACTGGGAAAACGTACCCGTACCACTAGGAACAGGAACGTTACAGAAGCCCCATCCTTCCCGAAGGAGGTTTCGGAAGCACTTACACATATGAACAATTGTTTAGGTGCATATGGAAGATTAGAGGTGATTATAACCCTCTTGGAAATGGCAGAAGTCTGCCGGGGAAACACAGGCTCTGAGGCTATACCGTGGACTCTACACATAAGGGATCCACTTAGGTCTCTACATATGGAACCCAGCCCTCTACCAGTTCTCACGGATTTATTGAGTGAGGGCCTGGCGCCGGATGTTCCAACACGTCTGGCTGCTGAGGGGATGGAGGAGCTCGACAGGGTTTACAGTACGGACACTCTGGAGCAGTTTTAGCAAACCGACACTAAACCGGGGCCTCTCAGTGCCTCTACCTGTTTGATGTGAGAATACAGGAGGATAACAGCTTCACACGAAGGCTATAGAATCTAGCGAACGTGTTGGGGGTCGCCCAGCCCGCAGCTCTACAAATATCGGTCAGCGAGGCGCCATGAGGCAGTGCCCAGGAGGATGCAACACTTCTAATAGAGTGAGCTCGCAACCTGAACGGGCAGGGCACACCCTGTGCCTGACAAGCCAGGGTGATGGCATCCACTATCAAGTGGGCCATCCTCTGCTTAGAGATGGCATTCCTCTTCTGCCGGCCTCTGTAACAGACAAAGAGCTGATCTGAGGTCCTGAAGCTTTGTGTCTGGTCTACGTACCATCTCAAGGCTCGGACTGGACAAAGCAAAACTAGGGCTAAGTCTGCCTCTTCTGGGGGCAGCGCTTGCAGGTTCACTACCTGATCCCTGAAGGGGGTAGTAGGAACCTTGGGCACATAGCCGGGCCGAGGCCTCAGGATTACCTGGGAGTCAGCCGACCCAAACTTTAGGCACGATTCGTCGTGGAGCTTTTTATTGAAAGAAACTTTAGCACGACTGACTGCAATGGCTCAAATGGGCCCTGCTGTAGTGCTTTGAGCACTAGAGTCAGGTCCCAAGAGGGTATAGAGG